GGGCTCTTCCTGAAAGATGAAACTTTTAAGTAGGAACAGCCATACTGGAACTGCCTATGGGGAGGGGGGTTCAGACCAAAGACGTGGGAGCGAGGCCCTGAGGATGAGAACAGTCCCCATTGCCGGCAAGAAATTGACAACCTCAGCCCTGCAGCCACAAGGAAATGAATTCTACCAATCACTTGAATGCACCTGAAAGTGGTGGATCTTTGTTGAGCCTCCAGGGAGGATGCAGTCAGCTGACATCTTGATTTTAGACTCCTAAGCCCCTGAGCAGAGAACCCAGCTACAGGGTGGTGTATTCCTGTACTGCTCAAGAAAAAGGAGCATGGACAAATTAGAGGTTCAAGTTTAAATTTTCCCTTTAAAAAGACTTGAAAATGTTCATTAATCTTGTACCTAAAGGTCAGGGGGATATTCCTCTGTTCTTGCCAGTTAAATGAATTGTCTTCAAATATTTTTTTTTTTTTTTGAGACAGAGCTCACTATGTCACCCTTGGTAGAGTGCTATGGCATCACAGCTCACAGCAACCTTGAACTCTTGGGCTTAAGCGATCTCTTGCCTTAGCCTCCCAAGTAGCTGGGACTACAGGCGCCAGCCACAATGCCCAGCTATTTTGTTGTTGTTGTTGTAGTTGTCATTGTTTAGCTGGCCTAGGCTGGGTTTGAACCCACTAGCCTCTGTGTTTGTGGCTGGTGCCGTAACCACTGTGCTATGAGCGCCGAGCCTATCTTCAAATATTTTAAGATATGCTAGAGATTAATTTTACCTTTCATTCCAGGTGACATGGGGTGGGGAGGGAAGGTATGAGACTTTTTGGACATTACAAGGAGGTAATTTTTATTCAGTGTAAGGACCAATGCAGATGTGAAAGATTCAGTGTGATTATTGAGGTGCCAAGAAGATCATGGATAGGAAGACAAAGTAGGAAGAAGTTTATAGAATTGACTTTTGGCTTTCAACAGGATGGAATATTCAGGAACTCAAATATGAGAAGTAGTAGGAAGCTGGCATGTAAGGTAGTGGAGGCAATATATCAGCAAAGTAAGGCTAGCTTCTACGTATGCTTCAAATGCATTATTTTCTCTCCTCCTTACACCTATCCTGCGTGGTAGCACTATTTATTGTTTGGAAGCAGATGAAACAGGTTCACTTTCCCAAGTCTTGCAGGTAATAAGTGGCAGGAGGGAACTTAAGCCCAGGCATTCTTACCTCACAGCCCTCACTCCTAACCACCGGTGTTTCAGTTGGAACAAATGGGAGTATTTCCAGTCTGTCTCTTTAAGCCAAGAAGAGGGGGAAACCTGTGTTTCTGGGAGTCTATGTGGTTCTGATATCAGAAAAGCTCAAGTTTTTTTGGTGGTGAAAATTTTGGGGAGAGCGAGCTGGAGATTGTCATAAATTGACCAATTGTTTCTTAGCTGGAGATTTCACTGAAGGGAGCTCTTTTCCTAGAAAATTGTGTCCTTTTAGGAAAGACGACCTCTCCCTCACAGTCCCTGGTGGGTATGATGTTTCTTGGCAGGTTAATATTCTGTCTTTGTGGTTCTACTTTGATATTATCAGAGGGTTTGGACTCTCCCCACTTGATTTTTTTTTTATTAAATCATAGCTGTGTACATTAATACTGTCATGGGGTACAGTGTGCTGTTTTCATATACAATTTGAAATATTTTCATCAAACTGGTTTACATAGCCTTCATGTCATTTTCTTAGTTACTGTGTTAAGACGTTTATATTCTACATTTAGAAAGATTCACATGTACCCTTATAAGATGAACCATAGGCGTGATGCCACCAATCACCCCCCTCCACCCATCCTCCCCCCTCTGCTCCCCTCCCTCCCCACTTGATTTTGAAGTTCTACATCTTCCGTGTAGAAGAGGGACCACCTCCTACTTTTGTAGAGGTGTAGATGCCATTTGTGAGGCTGTCTTTCAGTGGCAAGGGGACCAGGTATATCAACAACCCTCAAGGCTTCTTCCATCACTGTTCTGGGCTGTCATACCTCCCCAGTGCTCCCAGGCCCCAGGCTGTGTGTGCATGCCTGATTCTGGGAATAGTCAGTGTCCCACTGCCATCTTCCTTGTCCCTGGCAGTCCAACCATGCAGGACTTCCCAGAGCCTGCTTCCTGCTTGTTCTCATCAGGCAGGACAGTGAGTGGATACTAGGACTGGGAAAACCACAGGCAATCCTGATTTGCTGCAGGTCCAGGGGTGGGCTCAACAAGAAGCCCAAGTCATGACAATGGGTTCAATGCTAAGTCTGGGGGAAACACCAAAGAGCAGCCAAACCCAACATAGGATTAGGAGAAACAGGACACAGTAAAGGACAGGCTCACTTGACATATCAGATTGCATCTTTGGAAGTCTGAAGTGATGTCCTTATAAAAATGCAAAGCAGATCCAAAAGGAATTACTATGATCTTTAAAAGGTCAGAGTGAGTCTGAACATTGATTTTCTTTATCAATTAGAGACCAGAGGTTTTTTTTCCTGATGATATTTATTTCATAAATGTAATTATTTTTCTAAAACATATTAAAATAGAAAACATGTTCTTTTGATCAATTTATACAAAGAAAATACCAATATAGTAATAAAAATACTGAAAATATATGAAAAGCACCAGAACATTAGAGAAATTACACTGGCAACAATTCTAGGAATATATTTTTTTTTTGTAATTGTACAATAAAGTGCTATTAAATCCAGTCAAAATTAGTGGCAAGATATAAAAACAGTTATGGTATTATGAAATTTGAGGCTAGGTTTACCAGCAATTGCATTTTTAGGCTACTTTGCAGGTCAAGCTAATGATATTTTATTAATGCTTTCATGGAAAAGCTACTAATTTCCATTCCCAAATGAAAGTAAAAATGTAAATCTAAATGTTGGTCCTTGGTAATTTGATCATGAACAGGTAATGGCATGATTAAAAATGAAAAGATTCAAGTGCCAAAAATAATCGTGCAACTGATTAAATGAAACCAAAGGAAGACAGAATAAAACCAAGTGTAAATACATGATTAATCAAAACAAATACAAAAGTTTAGATGCTTTTGATTTTATAATTTTCAGTAATTCTGCTTAGTCACATTTAATAGACACATAAACATTAACAAGATATGTTATTAAAGTTAACTGACGTTGAGCAAAGATCTTTTAGTGGGTCAACATAATTTTCATGTGGAACATTAAAGGGACACTGTTAGGACAACACATTTCCAATCTTGGCTAATTATTTCCTCACTTATTTGCTGAGGAACAGAAAATATACACAAATACTTTGAGATTATATTAAGGCCAAAAATCTACCATGTAAGGGGAAGCCACTGTGCACACACACAGGGAGATACTGTGCACAGTACTTAGGGTGGACTGCAGTCTGTTTCACATCTGGAGGTGGCAAACTGAAACAGAAAAGTCCAAGTTAAGACAAAGCAGCACACCAGTGTCCTTTTAAGGTTTTATTTCCTAGGCCAATTTTGAAGGAACTCTATTATATCATTCTTCATAACTCAGTTTCTAAATCTACTTCTTTAGGATGAAAGTAACAACTCTACACCTCTCAATAGTTATCTCCAAATATGGCTCAATGGAAACTCAAAATCTATTTTATAGATTTTTTTTTTTTTTTGCAGTTTTTGGCCAGGGCCAGGCGTGAACCTGCCCCCGCCGGTATATGGGGCGGGCACCCTACTCCTTTGAGCCATAGGCGCCGCCCAACTCAAAATCTATTTTATAGGCAGGCTTTTTTCTTTTGTATAAAGTAGATGTACATGTGAACCATGGTCTGAAATTGGTCACATTAATGAGAAGACTAATTTCATTAGCCTCTACAAGGTGTGTCTTTCTAGGTATTTAGGAACCATAATGGGCAGGTATTATTGCATCAAAGGCAAAATATCAAGTCACTGAATGAGTCCTGGTCTGAAGGTTTTGTGGGTCATCATGAGTTGTATTTTTCATTCTTTAAATGAAGAGCTGACACTTGAGCATGTATGTTTGTGGTTTTTTTTTTTTCCTTTTCACCCTTATAGACATTCTAGTAAGTTTCCTTCTCATGGTTCCTTTTAATAAGGAACACTTTGAAACCTAATTATTCTGCTTAGTTACTTGAAAACAAATGTTTGAAAAATTTTTATTCAATGCCTTTCATTTCAACGAGGGTGAAGATGGTGCAATTTATTGTCCACAGAGAGACTCCTCTGCTTTGCAACGAGGGTGAAGATGGAATACCAAAGGATCAGGCCTTTATAATAAATTAGACAAAGGGTTCAGGTCCAGGCAGGCATAGTAGACAACATGAAAGTGCATAAAAATGACTGGAAAGGGGGCACTGCTTGAAGAGACTTTCCTTCTGGGCATTATTAATAGAATTCAAAGAAAATCCAACCACACTTAGTTTTCCAAGTGCTATCGAAATGAGAGTGTTCATAAAAAAGCCCGAGATTAATAAAGGCAGGCTGTTAAGGAACACTGAGAAACAAAGGCTAAGGTGGTTTGGCATTAAATAGGTTTACATTCCAAAAGAATATTGGCTATCATCTGGAAGTAATTCTCAAAATTACAAAGTCATGATTACATAAATTCCTCTTTTTTTTCAATATACAGGTTCTTCTATATACATAGTATAGAAAAGCTAATAAGTTGGCTCAGCTATAATTCTGTCATAAAAAAGCAGATTACATTTTTTTTTGCTGCAACAAAGAATGTTACTTATGCTTTTCAGCTAATGTATTTACACGATAAGACTTAGACTTTAAAAGTATTCAAATCAAAAGGAAAAAATAAATTATATTTAAACTATTAATTTACACAATGGCTATGCCTTTACTAAGTAGCTATAATCTCTTATAACCAATTTCTCCAGCACTTCTTTATTCTAACAGTTAATTTTTAAGACCTATATATGTTCCCATCTATGTGCCACACATTTGTTTTTATTAGGAAGCCCAAATGTGCAAAACTTTTAGTAGCTTGGTGGAGAAGTTTAGATCTGGGTTACTTTTTCCAACTAATAGATGAAGGAGCCGTGTTTCCTACCCAGGCACCACTTCTTTAACTGTATAGCATATAGAAGAAAGAGATGACAAAAGCAAGCAAGAGCATTGTTAAGGAAAGCAGCAGCTGCTGGAACCAGATACAGTGCTGAACTTGGTCTTCAAGCTTCCTATTGCTTTCTAGTAAACGATTGAGCTGAAGAAGGAAAAAGGGATGAAAGATTTAAGTCAGTAAAACAGTCATGAATCATGGGCATGACAAATAGGAATATTAGAAATCCAAATGTTGAAGGGGACCCATCTACCTGAAATGCTGGGAGCTGGAAATGCAACGAGGCATTAGATTTGTTTGGGGGACAGAGGTGTTTCTGCTTACTCTCATTTGGAAAGATCTAAATTTTTAGTTCAGACAGGAGCAGAGCAGTCACTTCTTAGAAGTATGAAACCCTCGACCTACCATCAGTTACTTAGAAAACCTTTCTGTCCCTCTCAAGTTTGAACGCTCTATATGGTATTTTTTTCTGCATCAAATTCTTGGATATTCTCCAAAAAATGGCCAGAGCTTTTAAAAGGCTAGTTGATTCTCTAAAAGTAACTCATTGCTTACCATTTCTGGTTTGGCATCTCTTCACAGAAAGAGCATTTCTTTCATGTCTGTGCCAAAGGGTTTTCCTTATGTCAGTGGAAAAAAAATGAATTTCTAATGCTAATTAGCATTAACAACTTTGTTTTAGATAGGAAGAAAGTATACTTACTTGTAGATATAAATCTTCACTGGTTTTATCTGACACATTAAAAGCATTGTCTTTTAATGTCAGAGTGTTTGGTTTACTGTTCTCAACAGTATGACATCTCAACCTATGAAGGTCCAAAAGAAACAAGTTCTTTAAAGTTGTAATGATTTTTCTTATAAAGTAAAATATTAAAATGAAAAAAAGTTAAATACAAAAGTCCATAACAGAGGTAAAAGTCCTCATTCTTCTCCCCAGGTTCACCTAGGGTAGCAGTTCAGTATAGATTTATCTTCCAGCTTCTTAATGAATATAACAAAGAACACAAGAGCTCACAGACAGTGGTCAGGAATGATGGATTCAACAAAAAGTTTTTTATATGGTATTCCGTTCACTTCATTATAATTAGGCCTTTACTCCTGGGCCAAACACCACTCTCATTTTGACTGACCCACCCAGACCAAGAAACTGACTCAATTGGTCTTGGACCCTCCACCCAGGGAACTACATTCCAGTAACTGACCCACCCAAACAGTGGCCCGTACCAAATGACTGATGGTTCTGCCCTGAAACCAGCCAATCAGCAGACCCTGTCCCCCCAATTCTTGGGGAGGTGGGTTTGAGAAATATCTTCCTGATTAGCACTATGTGGAATAAACTCTTTCTCTGCTCTAAGCCCTGCTATCTCTGGACCTTCGCTTCCTCTTGGGCACCAGGGCAGATGAACCTGGCTGGGCAGCAACAAACATTTCAGTACGCAAGGTGAGCATTCCTACAAGGGAAATATTGCGACAAAGAGATCTGTTTTTGTGATCTGGACAGATCCAGACTCTTGGACGGGTCTGCAATGAGTTTCTGCTATTAGCAATCTCCCTTGAGCAATAATAGGTCTCATTCAGCTGGGTTAACCCCACAGGCTCACGGCATGATCAGGCATGCCAGATGCTTCAACATCTACCAGATGAGAGAAGGAAGGGCCCCTTTCTCTTTATGATTCTTCACACTACATTCTAGTATGTGAGTAAAAAGCTTACCTATGCTCCATCACTTTGTTTCTAGGAACTTCTTTCCAAAACTGAGTTAATTCTGCTGGACCTGTGCCAGATGACTGTTCCATTTCCGCAGCCATTATCAGAAAACGGTCTTGGGCAGAGACTGTTAAACCTGCATTCCAAAAGGGTACCTTAGCATATAAACGGGAACCTTTACAAGGGGTTGGATATATATGTGGTTATGGCATTATTCTGGAACACTACATTAAGGAAAAAGAAGAAAACAGAACTACCTTTAAAAAGGGAAAAGTTTTAAAAGGAGATCTTTTGAAATTCAATTTCAATTGGTGTCAGTGTAAACAATTTTACTCATTTAATACAATTACATTTTAATGCTGGAAAGAGCTTCAGAAACCCCTCTGAGGCTTTGACTATCTCATTTCACATATGAGAAAAGAGAAGTCTAGAGTGAGGTAACGTGCTGATACTCAGCTACTAATTTTTAGGTTCCAGCCCATCATTTTTGCTGACTCATGGCTTAGCCTCAGGATCCCTGCCCCCACATCCCCTGCTATGACTACCAAGTGACAACTCACCCCCATGGGGAGACACAACAATATCAACTGATGCACCCGGGTCACAGCTGCTGTTGCTTGGCTTGACTCTGTATTTTTCTGGAGCAGTTGTTCTCACCTGTTTATAAACAGTAGTCACATAACATTTATGGCTTTTGGCGGGGGGAATGGCTTAAGAAGGACTTTTCAAAAAATCAGTAGTTAATTAAGAAATGAAGAGTTTACAAAGCAACAATGGTGGTTATGCAGAGAATATACTTGTGCCCTCTAATAGGAAAAAACTACCTTGATGTACTTGAAAAGACACTCACATAGACGTCCAGTTGTCACTTATATAAATAAATTAGTTGATCTGTTAAATATCCTGTCAGCTAATCGCCTGAATTTAATAATGCAAATTCACAAAAACAGAATGCCCATGAGCTTGCCTGTCATAATAGTGTGTTTGAAAATTAAAAACAGACAAATGAAGCACATTAGGGACATCCTAGTGGTTATATCTAAATTAAAAGATTTAAGGAGGAATACAGACAGTACGGGGTGGTGGTGGACTCAGTCTTGTTATACTTAATGCTGTCAGGTTAATATCCAACATAAACCACCCTCCAGAATATACCACACTTAGGGGAAAATTTACTATCAGTTTCATAGTTTTACCTTTCACTGTCATTATGATTATTCATATAACGAAGAGTGATTTTCTTGGCTTTTTATTTACAACAAACATTAAATCCCAGGATTAATTTATATATTAGCCTATTACTGCTCATTAAAGACTGAGATACAGACTTCAAGGAGAATTTTAGATAAGCTATGCCACTTAGTTAGAACTAGAAGGCAGTACACCATGCCTAAAACAATCATAAATAACACTGTACAACTTCAGAATCAATCCTTTAATTAAAATGTCTAAAATTACTTCCCATGTCATTTTCACAGATATTTTATTAAATCTTTAAGATATTTACCTTAAATGCCACTATATTTTTAGTCACATTTGTCAACACTATTAAAGTTTTCTTCTCTCCAGATTCTGTACTTCCAAAATATAGTTCTTCTGCTGGGCTAGGTAGTGACAAGAACATAAAGCATTTGAAATACTCAGAATAAATGATAAGCTAATCATCAGCTTGAAGAAGTATATGTAGTTAATATGTTAAGCTCATTTATTTCACCAAAAAGTCTACAAAACAATTATCTAATAAAATTTTGTATTTTAATCTTGCTGATTCAATATATGCTATTTAACAAAAATCCTATGGTTTTCACCAAGATTGAAAGTAAAATAGAAAAGAAGAGAGAATTAGGAAGATTCTGAATTAATCCCATAATCAGGAGTATCTCAAGGTGTGTTGATTTAAACTATTTGAAAGTTATAAATAATAAAAGGTACTGCTGCTTCACCTTTACCTAATTACAAATAGATTAGAATGGGGTATATTTTTACATACCCGTAAAGAAGAGCATAAATTAAAAAGATCACTAGGAATGTATTTAAGTAACAGAATAATTTCTTACTATATAGCGGCTTTTCTAATAGGGAAGGAAAAAGATAAACAAGTAAACTTGGAGTGGGAACCACAGAACTTAACCGATAGCAAAATCAGTCTCAAAATTCAAATTTCACTACTCTTGGCCATTGTAATGCCCATGACCTAAAGGAAAAATCAAAAAGATTCAAGCAAAGTTTGTGTAGCCAAATTTTACTTGGTGCCTCAAAGCCATGGGAGAAACTTTATTTTATATAACAAAGTGAACAACTTAAATAAGATGAGTCTTTAGATAGTCCTTGATTTTGAGATACATCTTAAGTGGATTTATTTTATATCAGAAATATTTGTGTTTCAGGGATATTTACTAATCTAAAAACACATTTTTTAAATTTCAGAGTAATATAAGGGTACAAATATTTAGGTTACATTGTTTTCATTTCTAAAATAAAGTTCAAGTTGTGAGACTTTCACCCAGGGGGCGTGCTGAACACCCTCACATTGGGCACATTAGGTGAGATCCCACCAATCATCCTCCCTCCTTTTCCCCTTTCTCCCTCCCCCTCACTAGAATATACTTGTTTGTCTTTCATAGAGAACACATTTTCAAGGAAGAGCTCTCCCAGAATGACTTTGCCTAGCTTTGGACAAGATGGTGAATCAGTGTGACTGCTGGCTTCCTTTAGAACCCAACCTTAAGTAAATTACAGAAAAGACAGCAAGATTATGGATCTCGGAATTTGTGGCAAGCACAAAAACTATGAGTAGCTCTAGGGAAATAGATGTTGGTTGGGTCCCTGCACATATGTGGAGGAGCTGCTCTGGGACTTTACTGGAGGGGGAAGGTAGGGAGGGCAGAGTCCAAAGAGCAGCTAAGAAGCTGTGCTGCTCCAGTCTTTCTCCCCAGCCCCACTCTTCCTGTCCTATCTCTACACTTCAGGGTAGGACCTATGATTTGACAGGTCTCCATTGAAAACACAGAGCATGTAACTTCCAAACAAGTAGAAGGGAAAATGAGAACAAGCAAGCAAGCAAACAATAAAGAAAAACCTCTAAAGGAGGAAAATGGCAAAGGAAAACATGGAAAATAGAAAAGGCATGAGCAACGTGCACCTCTCTCACACCCACACAGATGGTGGAAATAAATCCAAATATAGCAAGAAACAAACCAATCCTGTCAATTAACAAAGACTCTTAGAGCGTAAAAAGTCTGGCTGCATCGTTTAATAAGAGACATACCTCAAACATGGTTACACAGAAAGGTTTCAAGGAAAGGGACAGAAAATGCTACATTAGATCATAAAGTTGGTATGGCAATATTAACATAAGGCAAAATAAATTTACCAACCAAAAGCATCATCAGTGAGAAAGAGGCCTTTAGATAATGATAAAAGAAACCACCCTGAACCTTTTGAATCAAATAACCTAGCAACAAAAATAGAGTTGTGCTAAACTTGGCTTTAGTCATAAACCTATTTTTCTAGTTCATTTTTGGTTTTTGGAGGGTCAAATCAACAAATGCCTACAACAAATGCCTTCAGTGTCATTTCTGGCATCCCTAAACTTGTACAAGCCTAATAATAGTAATGTGAGAAAAATCGATGTTATTTATTGGTAACTTATTAATTATTTCATTATCTGATGTGTGATGAGAGCCCTTTATACACACACAACAGAATAAGAAAAAGGTAGCATTGAGACCAGCCTGAGCAAGAGCAAGACCCTGTCTCTACTAAAAATAGAAAAATTAGATAGGTATGATGGCAGGGGCTTATAGACCCAGCTACTCAGGAGGCTGAGGCAGAAGGATTGCTCAAGCCCAGCTATGAATGATGCCATGGCACTCTACCCAGGGCAGCAAAGTGAACCTTACTCTCAAAAAAAAATGCATAAAAGGGAAAAAGGTAGCTAAAAATGTCTACTATGTCTAGAAACCAAGGCAAGTCTTCAGGTAACCCCTTAATTTTGTATTTCTACAGTTTCAAAATCAATACAGAAGTTTTTATTAATTTTGTGGCTCCCTGAAGATGATCAAGATATAATAGCATAGCTAAATAAAATCTTCAATTATTACCTGATGTGTAATAAGGGTCCTTTAAACACACTCAATGGTTTCTTAAAAGCTTTTATTTTTGACTCAACTTTTTCAGTTTCTTCTGCTTTGGTAGTAGATTCAGCTGGGTTAGTCTAAAGACAAAAAATAAAAGAACGATAAATTTCAGTTTCATACTGACAGTTGGGTAGATCATTATGTCAAAGTAAACATTTTAATTCAATCCAAATTGTACTCTTTACCAGAGGTTTACTGTATCTATTTTGCATATATTAACATGACCATCCGCTTATATTAGAGTGTCTACTATAAGTAGAATACTGTAGAAAATATACCTTGGTCCTTGCCCTAAAAGTGTAAGTTCTAAATTATAATATTGTATTTATCCCTCTATCAAGTCCCCATTACTTGTAAAAAGAGTGACAAGTGCTCTTTCAAATACAAGACAGAGAAAGGAACTACATCAAGATAAAGTTTTAAATGAATGACTTCTATTTTATTTTAGACAAAACAATTCCTTCCAGATGAATTTTTCTAATCTTTATACAAAAGCAGGGAATCAGCCTTTTATACATAAAAGTGTTGCTACTTGTCAGCTAGTCCCATCCTTCCTCTTTCTTTTTGCACATAAAGATGGGAAAGGGCAGCAAGTTAAGTAAATTACCTCAAACTACATAGCTGGCTAGTGGTAGAATTGGGGCCAGACTACAGCTCTTGCCTCAATTTCATTTTATTTATAAAATTACCTTTTTGGGGAGACTTGTTTGTTCTTCATTAGAAATTGTTTCCAAGGTTTCTTTACCATCACTTTCTATGTCTTCTTTACTTGAAGTTTCATCCTCACTGGTAATAGGCCCATTCTCACACAATGGTGTCTGGAAGTCATCATCCACTAGGGGTGGATAGCTGTACTTGAAGGGATCCTATAAGAAAAGCATTTCACATCAGCCCGCTTAGAGGTGGGTAGAGAAATAATTCTCTTAATACACTTACCATTGATTACGTTGGATATCACTAATATCACTTAATTAGTGAAATTTAAAATAAAGGAAGCATTTCAAACCGTAAAGGAAGTGAGCAGTAAGTGGTATGAGACAGTTGGCTAGCCATCTATGTAACATCAAGTTAGATTGTTAGCTCACTCTTTACACCAAAAAATAATTTCAGATGGGTAAAAGCTTTAAAGATGTGTAATTTAAGCAAATAAACACATATAAGCTCCAGGACAACACAGAAGAGGATTAAACAAAAAACACAAAAAACCTAAGTAGGGAAGACCTTTGTATATGTAGCACAAAATCTAGAAGGCATATAAATGATAAAAGTTGAACATGTACTCAAATGAAACATTTCTGAATAGCAAAAACAAAACAAAACAAGTCAACCACCAACAAAAATAATCTCTAAAAGCTAAAGGACTTTTTTTTTTTTTAAGGCCATAACTGGAAATCCTTATACCACATATATCAGAAACAAAAGACAGCTTTTATTAACATATACAAACCAATAAGGAAAGGGTAAAGGAATGATACAGAATTCATTGAAAAAGAATGTCAACATCACTTATAATAAACGAAATGCAAATTAAAACTACAATATTTTTCACCTGAGACATAAGAATATGTAGTATTGCCAAGAATGTGGTTCCAGCATTCTTGTAGACGCTTAGTAAAGGAGAAAAATCGCTTTAGGAGGAATTTGGTAACAGTTATCAAAACTCAATACTTACCTGAAAATAGTAGACCAACTATTATAGGCCCACATGAGAGAAAAACACCAAGAAATGGAGAGGAGGCTTGGTTCCTACCTATCGGGAACAATGTAGTGGTATATGGCATACTTACTAGGTGAAGGGCTCAACTGTAACTGAGACTTTGGACTTTATCTTACAAATGCAAAGACTGTAACCTAATCATATGTAACTCATATTAATACCCCTGGGTGGGGGAACACTATATCTGATGAACCACTGATTTTAGTTCTAGGAGTTTATCTTATATGTAAATTTCTGCACCTGTATGTCAAGAGTTATTTACGAGGATATGTACCACAGCAATATTAATAATGGCAAAAGATTAGAAAACTAACTTATGGTACTTCAATAGAAGACAGATTACATAAATGATATATTCATCCACACAATGGATTATTCTACAGTGGTTTAAAAAATAAGGTAGACCTTTATGAATCAATGTAGTATAACATTAAAAAGCACAAATAATACATTCTACTGTGTGACCATTCGTGTAAAAACTGGTAAAGGACAATCTGGAAGGATAGAAAACGGTGCTTGTCTCTAGGGAGTGGCAGTGGGCACTGACCTGGGGAAGGAGACATATTTTTCTTTTTTTTTTTTTTTTTTTGGAGACAGAGCCTCAAGCTGTCCCCCTGGGTAGAGTGCCGTGGCATTACAGCTCACAGCAACCTCCAACTCCTGGGCTCAAGCGAGTCTCCTGCCTCCGCCTCCCAAGTAGCTGGGACCACAGGCGCCCGCCACAACGCCCGGCTATTTTTTGGTTGCAGCCGTCATTGTTGTTTGGCGGGTCCGGGCTGGGGATTCGAACCCGCCACCTTAGGTGTACGTGGCTTGCGCCTTTGCCCATTGAGCTATAGGCGCCAAGCCAGGAGACATATTTTTCACTGTGTTGTTATACTTTTCAGTCACTGGCATCGTTTTTTTTTTTTTTTAATCATATGTATTACTTTTGAAAAAAAAATATTAAAAATTTATGTTAAAAAATAGTAGTCCTACTACAATTTTGACTGCAGTCCTAAAGAAATGTCTATAACACTACTTGCTATTTGGGGGATATCTCTGATCTATCTTTGTATGTTATGATGTTGCTTTTCCTTTTTCCTTGAGGACATAATAGAGCCTGATGTAAACAGGCTCTATTGTTTCTGTAAACAAGTTTCCAAGTATTATACTTACAGCTCCGCCCATGTGTGGAGGCAGGTACTCTACACTGACATAGTCCTGGACTTCATTTTTGCCTGTGAACTTCAACAAACTCATGGCTTCTGGACCAAGCCAGCTTTTCACAATTTTGAAAGCAGCTGGAAAAAGAAAAGTCCCTTCATTAAAATTCTTTTCACTCTCTTTCTCTATTAATTTATTGTGTTAACCCAGGTCTTCTGAAATCAGTTCGGGCTATTATCTGTTAATATTTATCTTTACGTGGCAGGACACTTAATTAACATTCTCTAATTCCTGTAGGCGTTTACATTGTGACTCTCCCTTATGGGTTTCAAATGCCCCATGAAGATTCAGGAAGATTAAATTACCCTCACATTCATTAATAAACCTATCAGAGTTTTGGCCTCTGAACAAACCTATCAATGATCTCAACTGTTTAGATTTCCAGACACTGAATCAAATTGCAGTGTGATTCAGAAAATAACTGCACAATAGTATGGAAAGAGTCATTTAGCTTAAGGTTCTGATAAACCCTCGGTTTGAAAAACCTTTTTAAGTGGGACGGTGGGAAGAGAAAGAAATAGCCTTAGTCATTACAAATGTGAACCAGACCCAGACTTCCTTCCTAAACCTTGCCCTTCTCTCAAGCCCTGCAGTTTATATAATTGTGGGGAACCGTATGGTATCTACAAGAACAAACTGTTATCAAACATGGCTGTTTGGTAATTACAGTCTTGTTCTGTCATGCCATTTCTTATTTATGCTTAATTTTTTAAAGCTCATTTCCATTGCAACATTCTAAATATACTTTTTTAAAATTAAAAGGGACTACTACATTAAGTTTGCGAAGGTGCCATTAAAAAACAGGAAATAGTTAAATAGTAGTTTAGGAAATTACATATTTTCTTTGGTTAAATATGATTTAAGTTTTTTACATAACATTTTTTCATTAATTTCAACTTTAAAAATGTGTGAGATAGAATATGTGAAGCTATGCTAGCTACTTGAATTAGATAAAAGTGCTAAGTCTGATTTTTTCATAATAGCTTTGAGATATAATTTACATACGATAAAATTCATTCTTATTGGTTTTTAGTGTATTCATAGAGTTGTACAAACATGTTCATCACAACAAAAAGACCCATCTTCTAGCCATCTCTCCTTATTTCCCCTTCTAGTCTGAGCAATTATTAATCTCTTTTCTGTCTTCATGGATTCGCTTATTTTGGCCATTTTATATAAATGTAATCAGCAACATGGGGCTTTTTCTGCTGATGTCACTTAGCATGTTTTCAAGGTTCTGCTTTTTATGGCTGAATAATTATCCTTTTTGTAGATATACAATATTTGTTCATCAGGTGGCACCTGTGGCTCAGAGGAGTAGGGCGTCAGCCCCATATGCAAGAGGTGGCGGGTTCAAACCCAGCCACGGCCAAAAAAAAAAAAAAGAATACAATATTTTTTCATCAACTGATGAACATTTGGTTCTTTCCACATTTTGCTATTAAGAATAAAGCTGCTTATGAATATTTGTGCACAAGTTATTGAGTGGACATAAGTTTCCACTTCTCTTGGTATAGATTAAAGAGTGGAACTCTAGATTGTATGGTAATTCTACGTTTAACTGCAAACTGTTTTCTGACACGGCCGCACCATTTTACATGCCTGCCCACAGCATATGAAGATTCCAATTTCCTTGCCAAAAACGCTGTATGTATTTTTTTTTATTATAGTCACCCTAGAGGGTATGAAGTAGTATCTCACTTGGTATTTACTTATATTTCTCTGACTGCTAAAATTGAACATCTTTTTATGTGCTTTATGCCCTTTTATTTATCTTTGGGAAAAACATCTATTCAAATTGCCGATTTTTAATTGCTCCTAGTATTCCTTTATAATCTTTATTTCTGTAAGGTCAAAAGTGATGTCCCTTCTTTTGTTCCAGATTTTAATAATTTGAGTCTTTTTTTCTTCATTGGTTTGGCTAAAAGTTTGTCAAAATGTTGAACTTTTTACAGAACCAAGTTTTTCTCTATTGCTTACCATGTAACAATTAACTTTTGTGAACACAAATGAGAATGCACATTCTGAAAATAACATTAAATTTATAATCACTTTGAAGTTGTAGAAGAGTGTTTTTCTATGTATTTTTCAAAAAAATTAAATTCTACCAAAAAGTATAGGCAGTCCCCAAGTTACAAACATCCGACTTACATACAACTTGCACTTACAAATGGAGGCTATTACAGGTAATAGGTAAATGGACCTGTTCCAACTTACATACAAATTCAACTTACGAACAAATCTACAGAGGCTATCTTGTTCATAACCTGGGGACTGCTTGTATACGATGACTGTCAAAAGGGTCCTGTGACTACAATGATTATGGGTGAGTTTCAGACTGACTGCACCTTCCTTAACACTTAAAGCCTGTGAGGAAACTTACACAAGGCTTGTGTTCTGTGACACCCTTTATCTGTGGATGACAAACTGAGGCTTCTGGCTATAATTTTACCCAAATAATTGAATACTTCTGAGAGAGTTTTTAATTTTTTTTTTAAGAGAGGAGTCTCTTTATGCTGCTTAGTCTGGCCTTGAACTTCTGGGCTCAAGTGATCTTCCTGCCTCAGCCTGCCAAGCCCCTGAGTAGCTGGGAGTCTAGGCATACTCTACTGCACTCAACAAGGAGGCTGTTTTTAAAGAAGGCTGTTTTTAAAGATGCCCCCAGGCCCTAGGTATAGAACAATAGCCCTGTTTACTTAGGATATAGCCCTTGAGTATTCTAGCTCCAGTCTCTCAGGACTGCATGCAAGGACAATATAAATATTCTTATAAACTACTGTAGAAGTATGGCTAACTTGACAAAGTGAAGATAAAATCAGATGTTTTGTTTCAAGAAAGTATAGATAGTATACTCACCGTTCATTAACCAAGGCATATCAAAGATCACTATTTTTGCTGAAAGATGAAAAAAAAATTCATTGAATGTGACTTAGTACTTCTATAGTAATATTGCTTATACCTGGCCTACAAAAAACTGATCACCTAAATGTAAAGTACAAACTGAGCTGCCTGACTGAGCTCTAATTCAGAGAAATGTGATTGGTGCTGGAACTTTAACAACTAGCATCTCATGATGGTGAGGGGCCTTCCCAGGAGGATGGCTTGAGGGAAATCAGTAATGCTCTGTCACTGTCCTTTGGCAAACGGTCTATTCTTTTGTTCATTCATTGCTTTTGGTGTTTGCAGAAAGTTACAAAAGGAAAATAGTTAAATGAGTAAGTGGAATCTTTGGATATAGCAGGTCGTATTAGTGCTGAAAGCCATGGAACTTAAAAACATTTCCACATCTAATTTATGGTTTCAATTATAATTTTCTAGAGATTATACTGTTAAACCCATATCACAGTTGCCCTCTCCCCTTTTAATAAATCATTGTTTTAAGAAACATAAATTATTTCTACTGTTCTTAATATCATGAGCTCCAGAAACCAATAATTCCAAAGTATACAGGAGTATTATTTATACACTGAGCTAAAGATATTAAACACCCATATTAACAACTGTGAGAAAGAACCAGAAACAGTAAATATTTTTGAGATCCAATTCACTGTTCTATTCCAGATGAATCAAAATGTCATTTCATTCTTCTCTGAGTAGAGACCCTCCTAGAGTGGTTATATTAATGTAGAACAAATAAAGTACTTATAAAGAACAAGGTATCTGTAAAGAGGTACCATGTCATTTAATACTCCAGTATATATCTGGGATATATTTAAAAAAATTGAGACTCAAGATTTTAAGATATGATAGTTAAATTTCAGAATAGGCTTTGAAGAATAATCAATTTAATATTTCACAAAATTCAATGTTTGCAAAACTATATCAGGTAGGCAGAATACATACACGATCTCTATTTAATTGAAATGAATAGTATTCTAATTCATCTTTTTTTTTTTTTTT